TTTTTCCCACCTGCTGCCCCTTGCCACAGGTTAAGCTGAGCCAGGAAGGGCTTGATTCAGGCACTTTTCAGGCAGACTAGTCCCAAAAGCTTTAAATGCCTACTATATGCAAACACAGTCCAAACTTATCATTACTAGTCTTAACATTTTCTCTGAGCTGCTCTGCTACTTATGACTGCCAATTTGTCGCACTGACCTGGACAACCAAATCCCTACCAGTTTTTTGCCAAAAACATCTGGAATTTGTCCAGTCCGCACCAGTCCACTTCTATTATCCTATTCCAAGCCATCAATCATTTATCAACCCCTAACTGGTCTCCCTGCTTCCACCCTTGCCTCTCAAGCCATTTTCCACCCAGAAGCTAAAATGATTTTTATTTTCCAAAAAAGAGAAAGATCTATCACTACTCAAGATCTTCCAGCAGTCTCCAATTGTACTTAACAAGCAGAAGCAGAAAGATCATAGAACTGAGAGTTCGATCTCTGGTTTTGCTACTAACTATAAATCTTAGCAAAATTATGTGACTTCACCCTCTTAGGCCATACTTGCAAAATGAACGGGCTGTTTAGCTTTAAAAGTCTAATATTCTACATCCAGTATGCAATTTTATTTTACTTTTTTTAAAAAGATTTTATTTATTTATTCATGAGAGACAGACGGGGGGGGGGGGGGGGGCAAAGACACAGGCAGAGGGAGAAGCAGGCTCCACGCAGGGAGCCTGATGTGGGACTTGATCCCGGGACTCCAGGATCACGCCCTGGGCCGAAGGCAGGCACTAAACTGCTGAGCCACCCAGGGATCCCCAGTATGCAATTTTAAATGCCCATCTTGGCTTATTCTATTTCTCTGTTTCAATAAAACATCTATTTCATAAATCCTGTACCCATCCTGAGGTCTATGCTCAGCAACACAACATAGAGATGCCCCAGTTTTTCTCTCACTTTCATTTGATATCTTCAGGCAGGCAAGAGGGATAGGAGCAACTGGGTGGCTCAGTTGGTTGAGTGTCTGACTCTTGATCTTAGCTCAGGTGGTCTTGATCCCTGGGTCATGAGCTCAAGCCCCATGTTGGGACCCACGATGGGCATGGAGGCTACTTTAAAGAAAGAAAAGAGGAGCGTCTGGGTGGCTGAGTCAGTTAAGCATCTGCCTTTGGCTTAGGTCATGATCCCAGGGTCCTGGGACCGAGCCTGGAATCAGCTTCTTGCTAAGCAGGGAGTCTGCTTCTCCTTCTCCCTCTGCCCCGCCCCCACCATCACTTGTGCTCTGTCTCAAATAAATGAAACTTTTTTTTTTTTTTTTTAAACAGGGATAGAGAGGAATCTCAGCCTTCCACTTGAGCAAGTCCATCTGATGTGGCAACTCTACAGCTGGAAGGTATCCGCATAAGATCACCAAGTCCTGGCTGTACCCCTCAGATGGGTCATTTCAAGCTGCTAGACATCTTCCAGTTGACACAAAACTAAAACTGACAGGCCCACAGAAAAACCAAGTGCAGATTTTCGTGAGACACCATTCTATGTGGTCAGAATATTGACCTTTTGGTGATTTTTTTCCCTGTAGGATTTTAGCAAAGACTAAGTTTTAACTGTGAAAATGACTTATTCCAGAAAAGAATATCATTTTTTACGGAGAACCAACTAAAATATACAAACCACATTCCGCAAAATGAAAGGACAGTGTGGTGTAAGGAATTCACATGTACGTGGCTTGAGAATGAAGGAGGCAGGCAGACAAGATGATTTTCCCAGTTTGGTTAGTTTTTTAAAATACTATTTCATGGGGATCCCTGGGTGGCGCAGCGGTTTGGAGCCTGCCTTTGGCCCAGGGCGCGATCCTGGAGACCCGGGATCGAATCCCACGTTGGGCTCCCGGTGCGTGGAGCCTGCTTCTCCCTCTGCCTGTGTCTCTGCCCCCCTCTCTCTCACTGTGTGCCTATCATAAATAAATAAAAAATTTAAAAAAAAAAATACTATTTCATGGAAGCCATGGGGAAGGGGTTGGCGGTGAAGAAACAAGCCACAAAACCCTCACACTCAGAAAACTAGGAAAAAAAACTACTTGCTTGCCTTAGGGCAAATTAAGCAAATAAAGGAAAACCACTTGGGTTACTCCCACTCCCCTTCTCTCAGGGCTACCAAGAGCCAACTTCCTCTATCGCCAGGCTCTATCCTTCTGTCTCAATGTCACAAACAGCCCAAGATATTGCTAATATTCTGGTTCGATATTTAGTTTACCCGCTTTGGGATTAATTCCCAGCTTTTTCCAACCCCCACTGCTAGGCTTTCCTTTGATTCATCAGAATACTAAAATTTGAGATTTTAATCCAAACTACAGTTCAAACAAACAAAAAAATTTAATGCCCATTTTCTCAGGTGTGTGAACAGAAAATGAATGTTAAATCTGTGAAATGTGAGATTAGTTAAAAGAGTTAAACAGATCCAAAACCCAGCCAGAGAGCACCAATATCCCTGCTTCCCAGATTCATTCCCCCTTCACCCCAAGACCTTAGCTCTGAATTCCCTCTTCACAGTGCCCGGCACCCTCCATCTGCCCAGGGACTCCAAGGCAGTTGGCACCACAGCTGCCACTAGCATGAGAATCCTGAAGAGAAACTAGACAGAGCTATCCTATTAAAATGAATGCTCACTGCAAACACAGGCCAAAGACAAAATACTTACATCTACTCAAACTGTTGACAGCAGATGACCCTGTGCCAGAAAACCCCATTCTCCAATCACCAAACCTATGGAGGATTTTGTGCATTTCAAATATCCACTCAGAAAATATTCAAGAACCATCACATGGTCCTATGTTTGAAATACACATTAAATCTGAGGAGCTCTTAGGCCTTAGAGAAATCTCAGCTTGGCTTATCTCTTTTTTTCCACCAAGAAAGCAATAAGTTAGCCAGGACCCTCTCCCCTGGACGGTCAACTGGAAATCCCATTGGTTGAATGTACCTAGGTCCCCAGCTTTAAGACTGCCGGCCGGCCCGTTTGAAACTTTCTCTAAGCACCAAGTGGTAGATAGTCTGGACTCAATTGTTCTCTAATTGTTTCCTGTGTGGAGGCTGACCTATATACTAGACTGTCATCTCGCCTGGGGCAAGGACCAATACTTGCTTGGCATCCTGCCCTGCGCTTAAGCATACGGTCATGCATTTGGTATACAATGCAAATATCTGCTGATTTGTCTTAAAATTTGTTTAAAAGCAATTTTTAGTTGCTTTTTAATTTTTTTAATTAAGAAAATATGTTTGGGACACCTGAGTGGCTCAGCGGTTAAGCAACTGCCTTCGGCTCAGGGCGTAATCCTGGAGTCCCAAAACAGTCTGCTTCGGGCTCCCAGCATAGAGCCTACTTCTCCCTCTTACCTGTGTCTCTGTCTCTCTCTCTGTGTCTCTCATGAATAAATAAATAAAATCTTAGAAAAGAAAGAAAGAAAATATGTTTAGATTTCTCCCTTATGTTTTTTAAACTGGGAAAACTGAACATACCTCATTTGATGAACAAAGCAAAGCAAATCCCACTAAGTTCTTCACTGTACAAATTATAAGGCAGGCTGATGACTGGCCATTATGAAAGGGGATCTCATTTCATTCCATTGGGCTCTAATTTGCTGCCTACCATTCCTCCCAGCACAGCACAAAAAAAAAATGTTTAATAAGTATTTCATTACAGTGAAATCTTCATAACTTAAGAGGTTAAAGGCAGAGTTCTGCTATCTTGGTCATTTCTACCACTTGTTTTCCTCTCTCTTTCCCATTTTTCCTCAGCCTCTAATCAAGTCACATTCTGAAGACATTCAGACTCACTACAGCTCAAGAGCTGACTGTGGACAGAGCTATAACCTCTTCTAAACCAAAAACTGACACCTCGGAGGAATAGATTTTCCTCCTTCAAGATAAGGGTTATCTTTCCAGCTAAGCATCCAGGAGTCTCTCTTGGTTTTGTTTTTAAGCCTTAAGGAATTTTACCTTCTAGCACTATGTAAGAGGACTGATATCTGGGTACACACAAAAGCCTCTAGGTGATGGATATGCAAATTAGAATGTTTATACAATAGATGTAACTAAACCAAGGACATTACCTTAGCAGATAGGCTTTCAGACAAATTCACTTCAAACATTTCACTTTGCACTACTAATCTGAATTTTGGTGTAACTGTTGCTAATTTAGAATTTCAGTGATAAGATGTGTGCTCTGATTCTCTTCATTCAAACACAATGCTGCCATTTACCAAAGGAGAAGAAAAAGGAATTTTTTTGTTGTTTAAAAAGATAAAGTATTTTGGTTACTTGAAAAAGCCATGAATAACATTCTGTATTGTATATTTGACTCACTCTCCAATAAGACATCACACCCCCAGTCTTCATTCTTAGGTGATAAACAAAGAAAAAATACTAGAACAGAACTTTAGCTTCAGATTTTCTTGTAATTTACTGGGAACAAACCATTGGAAATGCTTTGCCTTCAATATTTTAACTTCTGTTTGTTTGTTTTACTTTTTTATGGTTTGGATCTCAGAAAAACTGAGGCTGAGGAAGTATTAACCACCACCACTCCTTTCTTTTTTTCCTCTAGAATGTTAAAATAAGTCAGTACTCCCCCAAACATACAAGTAAAAGCAAACAAACAAAAGCAATGACAGCTCAAAACCTTCCTGAAACTTTCTCATGATAAATATGACTGGGTTGTGGGTTATACAGGTGTATACATTTTTCAAAACACAGCAAAATGTACTCATGATCTCTATATTTCACAGTATATAAATTATGGCTCAATGTTTTTTAAAAATACCTTCCTGAAAATCATATTTCACTGTCATCAATAATTCATCTCAGACCTGAGTTCTTTGTGGGTCAACAAAATCCTAAAGCCAAAAAGGAGTCTCATAACCCAAAAGCCATTGATACCCATGCCCCCAAGTCACCAGAAACTTCCATCTTGAATTCCCCTTCACACTGAAATTGCCCCAGATATGAAATTCCACTCACCTCACCCGACTGAGATGGCATCTTCAGTTTGGTGAGCTTGGCTTTGGCAGGCACTTTTAAGTCTGTTTTTTCAAAGGTCTGTTGCCGGTAGTCCTCCGGCAGTGGTTTCAGTTCAGGTGACTCACTAGGAGCCTGATCTTGACCGTCCATGGGCCGGACGTAAGCCGTGGGCTTCTGCTGCATCGCAACAGTTTTTGAGGGGAGGGAAGGTGGGGGGAAAGTCTGAGAAGGTGGCTGGGGAGGGGCCACCCCAAGGCCGGCAACTGCCACTAAATTGTCTTGAGGGGTCTCTTTATCATGGACCTTTGCTACTAGGTCTTTGGGAGATTTGGCTGGGCAATAGCCTTTACTGTTACTGCTATGAATCTTGCTGCTTCCTTGTGTCCGGGGAAGAGCTTGCTGGTTGGAATGTACAGATGACAGGGGGGGCACTGGGGAAGGCAAGGAGAGTAAGGGAGAAAGCTCCCTCTCTGGAGCAGAGTCTGTCACCAAAGCACAGCGGTCTCCATCAGCTCTGCGGTCACCTTTTTTGTGATGACCAGAGCCGCACATCTCCTGACCAAGGCGATCTTGGGTCGGGTGCTGGCTGTCTGGTGGGCCATAGCTTTTGACATGAGGATTTGACATTGGTTCCATTCTTGGCTGTGCCATCTTTGGGTTCTGGCTTACATTACCAACAGGAAGTGGTCCAGAGGCAGGAGTATTAACAGGCTGGTGGTGGGCACTCGTGTGGAAGGAGTGGGATGGAATGCTGCTCCCCTTCTCAGGAAATAAAGGATATCTTGGCTTTCCCAACCTATTTTCAGAGGCATCCAAGCGATGAGGGTGGGACTTGCTACTAAGGAACTCCTTCACTTCTTCATAGTTTCCCAACATGTTCTGTATTCGACTGGATAGCTCATCACCTTTTTCTGTCTGGAAAAGGAAAATATAGCAGAGTTAGATACTGGGAAAAAAATAATCTAAGGAAAATCATCATTTAATAAATGTTGTTACATAATACTATTTAAAGAAAACAAAATCCACTTCTATTTAATGTATAACATAAAATGTAACATGCAGTTTAAACTCAATTATCCTGTTGAGAAGCCCACCCTGAACAAATATTACTAAAGACAGGAGACTAACATTACAAAGGAAGACCACAAACTGGTAATTTGAATGGCGAAGTACAGAGAATTTTCAGTCTTTTTCCAAAGACAATCTAAGATAAGTGGTCTTATTTTCATATTTGTGACCCCTGTTTAAACTCACTTTCTATTACAGAGTGAAATATGGTGATAAATCAGGCTTTCTAGTATTCACTGAATACCTTGTAGGGCTCTCCAAAAAGGGGGATCTTTTCAGAAAAGGCCTCTTTCTCTTGGTGAGCTTCCTGGTTGCGTCTTTCCTTCTCTCTAATTCGAAGCAGGTTCCGATCTTCATTGTACAAGCTGTTTCAGATGCCACAAAGGAACAAAAACAATAAAATTTATCAGCGTCCAAGTTTCGTTTTGCATGTGCACATGTGTGAGGGAGGCCAGGAGAGGTCAACAAGAAGTGATAACAAAGGAAATGTTTCAAAGAAAGCGTAAGTCCCCCAAACCACTCCTGGATTGAGGCTGTGACCCTCTGGCCTTAAGTCCTGGCTCCAGAAACCTAAGCAGTCACTCTGGAATACTGCCCTTCATGGCTCAGGACTGACTCCAAACTGAACAGTCTTTTATAGGCAGTCGTGGAAGAGCGACAAGATTAGCGTTATTTTTACTTTCAGCTTGCAAAATATGGGGTAGAGATAGAAGCTTTTCATCTGAAGGAGTCAGCAGGATGTGAACTTTAATAAGGCTGTTTTCCTGGATCACTATTATACATTTTGGAAGATTAAAATCAAAAGGTTTATTTCATAATTAAAAGATTACCAAGCACCCAAAACAGCATTTACTTTATTCTCTGCCTATTCTACCGGGAGTGTCTTGGCATGTTAAACCCCAAAAGATAATTTTTATTTCTCATTTCAAATGTAAAGGATGGGAAAATCCTTTTTTTTTTTTTAATATTCATAAGAGACACAGAGCGAGAGAGAGGCAGAGACGCAGGCAGAAGGAGAAGCAGGCTCCATGAAGGGAGCCCGATGTGGGAATCAATCCTAGGACTCCAGGATCATGCCCTGGGCTGAAGGCAGGTGCTAAACCACTGAGCCACCCAGGGATCCCCAGGAAAATCCAATTTTAGATGTCAGCTTTACCTACCGAGAAGTCTGATAATCTGATTGCCCTACTTAAACCACATAAAAATATATCCTAAACCATCAGCCCTGGCACTAAAAGGGTTAAAAATGCATTCACTGACAAACAAATGGCAGAAGGAAACCAACAAGAGTGCAGTTTTAGCCAGCATGTAATCCCCAAGTAGGCTTGCCACAGGTCAGCAACACAGGCCACACTCTCCCGACACTCACATGTGCTATATAAGAATAATGATAGTAAGAACTATAAACTGACTTTTGTCCTCATACATGTGTTTCTAGGGGAGCTACTGAATCCTTTCCCCCATCATTATGTGAATAAATAAGTAGGAAAAAATTACTGTCTTGCCAAGATCACATGCACACCCTCACAAATTATAGTGCTGATCTCAGACACCCCTTTTCCTGGCCTCTCTACCCTCATGACTTCTCTTATTTTCTCCAACAGGAGCCTACTTACTGTTCTCCCTGCTTCCCCAACATCTTGTCTCTCTAAAGTAGCCTTCTCATAGAAAGAAATCCAACCTAAAGCTCTGGTTCCCATGCCACTACCCACATTTTAAAATAAGCATTTGATAGCTCTTTGCTGCTGCAGAATTAACTCTAAATCCTTGCTATGGCATTAAAATTCTCCCAAAAATCTAGTACAAATCTACTCTAGATATCACCCTACTGTTTCCCTGTAGACCTGCCGCATGCATTCTCCTTGACAGTCATGTCTACTTCCCAAACATAACCTTTAAAAGCAGCCTCTTGCTCTAATCTCATCTCTAGAACCCTGAATGATAATCAATTCTCCCAGGACCATTTCACACATGTAATATGATTCACCCACAAACCACCTGTATATTCTGGGCATTCCAGACTATTCCTTGCTCCTCACTGGTATCCTGGACTTTGATGCTTTCATTCTAATCAAACAAATTTCCTCTGCTTCTCTCTCAACCTCACACCCTTATCCCCGATTTTCAGCTACCAGCAAATCTCTAGGGTGGTTCCAATGTTACCCAATCTAAAGGCTTCCTTAAATTCACCAAGCATGTGCTAACACAACACAATGACTGCTTCTCTCTCCTCCTCCCCTTTCCCCTAGAATGTGAGCTCCATCAAAATAGAACCTCTCACTTCTCTCTCTCCTGATGCTAATGCATGGTACTTACATAGAAACTAACCATTACTTTGTTTTGTTTTGTTTTTAAGATTTTATTTATTTATTCATGAGAGACACAGAGAGAGAGAGGCAGAGACACAGGCAGAGGGAGAAGCAGGCTCCATGCAGGGAGCCTGACGTGGGACTCTTTCCCTGGACTCCAGGATCATGCCCTGGGCTGAAGGTAGGCACTAAACTGCTGAGCCACCCAGGGATCCCTAACCATTAGTTTTAAATTAAAAAACAGCCACTATGTTTATAATGTATTTTTAAAGACTTACATATAAATTTTTAAAAATTAACTCCGGAAGACATATGCAAAAACGATTTTTTAAAAATAGCCATCTATAAAGTTATTTTCTGCTTTTACCATAGCCTTAAGGTGGTGAGGAGGCTAAGCTACCTGGCTAAATTTACCTGGATGTGGCCAAAGAATTACCTGTTTAGCTTACCATAACAAAAACTTTTCCTAAAGAATGGATAGCTTGATGTCATACTTTACAAGAGAACTACAAAGTGAACAATTTGTTAGTCGACATACTGAAAAAAGTTGGAAAAAAAAAAAGACTAAACCAGAAACTAGCTATGGAATCTTCTTCAATAGAGTCTGAATCTCACATGTTTTGGACACAGTTATTTCTGGTTGAAAGCAGCACAGTGAACCTGATGACCACTCAGGAATTCCTTTCAGTTATTTTATAACTTTGGTAATTCTTCATTGGCTCAAAAAAAAAAAAAATCATGAGGGGCAGCTGGGTGACTCAGTGGTTGAGCCTCTGGCTCAGGGTGTGATTCCAGGAACTGGGGATTGAGTCCCACCTTAGGCTTCCCATGGGGAGCCTGCGCCTGCTTCTTCCTCTGCCTATGTCTCTGCCTCTCTCTCCATGTCTCCCATGAATAAATTAAATCTTTAAAAAAAAAATCATGTAACTTTTTTTTTTCATGTAACGTTAACATACATCCATGAGAGCCAATTAAGAGGGTTGATCAGGAAATAACTTTTTTCCTTCCAACTTGCTTTTACAACCACCCGCAGAGCAGGTAGGGCATGCAACTGTCTTGTAAGCAACCCGAAATGCCAAGCTTCTCTTTTCCACAGCTACTTGGTACATGTACCTCACAAAGGTAAGAAGCAGCTTCCCAAGGTCACCTGCTTTACCATCCTCATCATGAAGGGAGTTCTCCCTTTCTGATTCTGCAGGTTACACCACCACAGTCCCTACAGCTTTATTTGCTTATGAGTGTTCACAGCCTTTGGCTCCACTTCAATAACAGACTTCTGCCCACTTCTGATTTTTACCTTGGTCTCCGAGAAGGTAACCCAAATGCAAAATTCTCAGTTCCAGATGGAAAGTGAGGGTGTGAGCAGTGGCACCCCAACTATAGGCAGCTTGGGGTCCTCACTTAATTTTTCTATCAACTCCACACATATTTTTAAGAAAAGCTACCGTGGCTTAAAAGTACTCAGGTATTTCTAAATTGATCGGCACAGCCTTATCTCCGTTATCATGGGAGTTTTACCACACTTCAATGTTTTATTTCTTAAGTAACAAAAATTGCTATGGAAATAATTAGAACCCAATTTTTTTTACAACATTTCCAACACCGGCTTATGGCTGCTATGTGATTCAAAAATCCAGGTACCTCCCACAGGGGAAAAAATCCTATTAAATTAGGGACTCGGCTTAATTAGAGGTTTTACTTCATTAGTTTAAAAGTTAAAACCCACACCAAGATTTTGTTGGCAGACAAATGTAATACTATACCAATTCTGAAACAACCTTTGAGTGTATTTCTTTTTTAATTAACCATTCATTACCCTTCAACTGAAAAACCTAGTGAGATGAGGAAAGACCTCATGAGTGTTACTGGTAGGATGAGTTTTATGAGTTCTAGACTTTGTGAGAGAAACTCACTCTCCCCCAACTGTCCCTTGGGTCTCACTCCCCAAGGCTCCTGGGCAGGGCAGAGGTAGGCCGAAGAGACAGTAAGTGACCAGTTCACAATTCCCAGGACTACAGAGGATAGGCTGTGAGCCCTCATTCTTCTGGACTGTCTACCTTCTCCTTGCAACTGACAGGGTTTTACCAGTCACACTGGGGAGCTTTCTGGTTTACTTGGCTTTTACTTACTCTAAGTTTGCAATGGTTTAACGAATGGTTTGCTAAAGTTCATAGGCAAATTTTTTTCAGGAATATTTTTCTTTATTCTATTTTGACATCAGGGGAAATATAAATTTTTTTTAAATATCAAAACAATTAGTAGCCATGAGTAAGTAAATCACTGTTCAGCCTTACACATCATCTTTAATTCAAGGTGCAAAGACGGGGTCGACAGAAGAATTTCAAATGAGGGGATTTGAAGTACATGTCCTAAATGATTCACAGACTTAATTACCTTTGAATAATTACAAGGTGACTATCACTTCATTTAATTAAATTAAAGGTGGCATTTCTCCTCTGGTGTGGAGGAGAAAACATTCTCCCTTAGGGGACAACCCCATCCCAACATCATCCTTTCACTGGACTTTCTCATTGTTCCACACAAAGCTACAAGTTCTCCTTCCCTGCATTCTACGCAGCATTTTGGATTAGGTGAGAGGTTCCCAAATCAATGAACACTAGAATCAACCTGGAGGACCTGTTAAATCATGGAATGCAGAGACCTATCCCCCAGTTTCTGAGTCTGTAGATCTGATGTGGGACGTGAGATCTTACATGTAACAAGTTTCTAGGTGTGCACACTCTACTTGGCTCTATGGATCACTCTAATAAAGCTTACCAAAAATGGGAGCAAGGATGACAGTACCAGCAGGTTGCCAAGAACTGCCACCACTTAGCAGCTGTTGTTCAGTCAGCACTGATTTAGGCACACCACATCGGTCTCCTATTTAATTTTCACAACAACTCTGTGAGAGGGAGATTATTAACCCCATCTTCTAGACGAGGAAAAAAAAATGAAGCTCAGAGATTAATTTGTTATTAAATGATAACCTTAAAATTCGAATGCAGGTCTGTTTGGCAAAAAAGCAGGTATTCTTAATCACAGTTCTGCCAGCA